TGTGTGAATTTACTATTACGGTTATATGTGGGTGGAACTTCCTTTGTTTTCATGCGATTCAGAATGGATGGAACAGAACTGCCACTTCTTTCCTGTAAATCAGACCAAAGTTCATACATCATCACTTCTTCATCAGAGACAGGTAAACAAACATCTAGATAACTGTAAGTCTGTATTTCTGATGCTAACTTACCGTGCCCCTCCTCAGTGCCTGCTGAATTCTGTCTAGATCCTGTACAGGACACCAGCACTCGGCGATCAGACATTTCTGAGTCACGTCCAGATTGAGCATGTTGAGTGTGTGATAGATGGCCTTGATTTTTCTCACTTTGATAAACCAGATTTTAATGTTACGAGCAGCGGCCACCAAAACTCGGTGACGGTGATCCTGTGTCTGACCCAGAACCTGTATAACACGCGAATTTAGTGATACAACACTGTTTTATAAAATCTGTACATGGCACTTATCTGTAGCAAAGTGTATTTCTATATAATGTCCTTGCAAATATTTTTAGTATTAGTTTAAAGATTCCTCAAGTTAATAACACTTGCATAGTGACTGCATATAATAAAAATATAACCTACAGTGTTTAAATCTTCTATTCTGGTCATGACTCCTATTGCCATTTCTCTTCTCTCAGCTGGAGTTTCTGGACAGGGGTACAGGGTGGCTCTAAATCTGTCATCACAAATATTAATCATTGATAAAGATTTCAACAAAAAACATTCAAATTCTGAGAGGTTTTCAATGATTCAATATTAAAAACAAATCTTAAATTGTGGGAAGGGCACTGAACAGAACATCACTTTAGAAGCCTGAATGAAGGTATAGAAAATAGCTTACCCCTCACATATCTTTTTGACCCTTGACTTGAGTTGTTCCCCTTGAAAGAAGATGATGAAAACAGATTTGCTGACCTGGTCACCCTGTGGAAATATTCAAAAATAAAATCTTAATTTATAAACTTTAATTCAAAGTCTTTTGGGGATAATTTTTACTTTATATTTATAGAGATGATAAACCTATGGATCTTATAAAATCGTCTACTGAGCTCTAGCTGTTAACAGTTATATACTGTGACTGGGTCTTCCAATTTATTGATAATTTTTACTTTATACTTATAGAGATGATAAGCCTATGGATCTTATAAAATCGTCTACTGAGCTCTGTTAACTGTTATACCGTGACGGGGTCCTCCAGTGGGGTATCAATCTCAGCCTGTCTGAGGAAGACGTTCCCTCGACACACCCTCCACAACATCCGCTCAAAGGCCGGGATCTTCTCCCGGACGATCACCCCCGCCACAAATCTACAGACAGACAAATCACAGGTTTATCACTACAGACAAGTATAAAGTTATTCCTTGCAGCTCTATAATAGTTCTGCAGAGGGTAATTTAAAACAAATTGTGTCATAATAAAATTTCTCTAATGATAAAGTTAAAGAGCTTTTTCAGAAAAAACTAAGTCCTGTACTTGAACTGGTACATTTGTTTTCAAAACAATGATAACTGATTTTTTTTTTTAAATGACACCGCTAGGTTTGAATTTTAAAAATTCATATTTCTGTGCACCTAAGTGTGTTTTTAGATGGTCAAATAAAACAAGCTTTAAGCATGTGCATGAAAAAATTAAAACATTTCTAACCTTACTGTGGTCTTTTTCTATTCATACCCTAATTTGAAGGCTTATTGTAGCCCTTTACTGTACGTACCCTAATTTCAGTGCTTGCCCCGATCGGTGTGATTCCTCTCCCAGCAGTCCAAAGTTCTCCTCCGTGAGGCTGGGGTCATGCATGGCCTGAACATGATGAATTTCAGCCTGATTAAAATATAAGACAACCGACCAAACTTAAAATCCCGACCCAAAGAAAGAAAAACAAAACAAATGAGAGTACAATACATCTAAGACAACAATCAATAATAAAAATAAACAAATCAGAAATATTTCACAACACTCAGCAGCTCAGTGCTAACCTTTTGTCTATTGTCTTCAAATTGATTGATAAAGTAACCTCAAATTAAAGTGTACGACAAAATTTCATGACTACATGCAGGTACAGTTTGTGTATATTCATGCTAAACTAGGCATTACAAAATATTCAACACTAAGTCTAAACACATCTATAATACCAAAATCAAAATGTATAAATACATTATACTGGTGATGAAGATAAACAACTAACACACAAAATTTAACTTGAAAGTGCAAGTTACAAGAAAGGAAAAGAGTAGTAACATCAAAAAGAATAAAGATTAAAAAAAAATTTTAATGAAAGAATGGAACCCAACCCGCCTCCTATGTATTTAGCCCCATCGGGATTCCGTCCTTCTTTATATTTCAAACATATTTTTTTAATGCAAGTTCATCAACAAATAATTCCCTTGTACAACAAGTTTCATGTTTTACATTTAGGTGCATTAACTTATAAACTACTAAGTTTTGATGCAGATCCTGCTTAGAATCGTAGAACAAACCTCCTCAAAGAAAGTCTGGGTCTTCCTGAGAATATGTTTCAGTTCAGTGAGTTCTAGGTAGTTACGCTTCAGTGCTTCTGTGTTCCCATTCACCTCCTTCATTTCATTTTCAAGTTTCTCAAATGTGGCCTGAAATAAAATAGGAAATTTATAGATTTATCATTGTCTGTGATGATTATGGCCAACTTTAACATGAAACAAACTTGCTTCTAATAAAATTTGCTTCTTTAATTACAAGGACATAATGATTAACAAAAATCAAAGTGTAATGTCGCACCTCGAGGTCGATCATTTCTCGGGGTACCGGAGCGTCGGGATTATCTCCCGTGTCTAACATCGGAATTCCGTCCTTCTTTATCTCTTTCTCCAAGAATCCTGTAAAAAAACAATGGCTTATTACTACCGACACATAGCTAAAATTTATGTTAAAATTCCTCTTCAAATTATTTTTTTAAGCTTATACCTACATAAATCTATTTAATAATCATGATAATGTACCTGTAGACATTCCTATTCTAACATTTCTTGTAAGAGACAAAGATTTGTAAATTGATTGTATTCTGAGTATGTTGTATTTTTTTATGCTTTATTTTGAAGCTATTTTTTTGAGTATGTTGTATAATCTTTAAAAATCTTGTTCTCATACACATGGTTTAACTTACGCAGTTTTCTCTCCATTTCATCACATCGTCTTACTTCATTCACAAACTTTCTTTGAAAAGCGTTCACATCTGGGTTTAACTAAAAATCCATTGGTTGATTAAAGCATGACAAAAAAAAAAATTGCATCTTTTGAAACATTATATACATAATCATGCATTCATAAATAGCCTTTAATATACATATTTTATAACTGTGTAAAGTTTTAAAATACCGTATAAGTACAATTTTTAGCGAGGATATAATTTTGGCATTATTAGCGTGCTGACATCGCTAAAATTGAATATCGCTAAAAATTAATTCCGTATTATTTGTAAAAGCTTTTTTAGTTAGCATTTTAAAATCACTAAAATTACATCTCACTACAAATAAAATACCAGATTTTAGGTAGAAATCGCTAAATTTGCATCACGCTAAATTTTCCACTTATACGGTATTCCAACATATTCATTAGGTCATTACAATACACCTTGGACTACTAAATTGCCCCCCCCCCTATACTTACATCTCTGAACTGTACCAGTCCTAACTCCCCCAGCTCTGATACACAAGCGTAGGCGGCCTCTGACTGGAGAAATAACTGACATAGAGTCATCTCCTCGCTCCTAAACAGGGACCCCATCGCGGCAGATTCTAACTCTCCTCTCTAAAAACCAAAGGACAAATAATAAAATTCACATGATAAGTACATGGTCACAAGTATTCCTATATGAAATATGTATGTCCTCATTTAGAGTTGTAAATTTATCTCAAGAGGAAGGGCCCACATTTCTATTGACAACTTTTAAATTTCAATTATTTACGACTTTTTAAATAAGTAACTCTAGGGAACTTCCTTTAACGTTTCTATATTGCACACTTCACAAAACTACATGGATCAAAGCGTGCCTTGTATTTTACAAGAACATATATATATTAAGTTCTTTACAAATATGAGAAATACACTTAACTAGCTTGGAAGGAAAGCACAAAAAATCTAATATGATAATGAAGTAAATCTCATATATAAATGTGTTTTACCCTTAAACATTGCAGGAAAAGTTGCTTAAAGCTAGGACCTGAAAGCTTTCAATTAAAAAAAAAAAAACAAGTTTGATCCTAAAGCCAAATAACATGTTAAATTGATATATAGTTAATGCAGGTACAATAGATCTTGCAGATAGCATCTGACACACAGGTAAAATATAGCCTTCAGTGCTTATCCATATGCCACATTGAGGATATTGATAAATTATCCCTTGTTGCGTATTTTGTTTTTTTTAACCCCTCTGTTTCTCAGTTATGTAAAGTTTTCCTTTATAGTGTATAATTATATATCGATCACTCTTTATATTACTTGTAATCAGATCTTAAGAATTATGACCTCTATACATTTATAGGTAGATAGAAAATTCTCTATATGTATGCTGTGTGTGTACAGTAAAACTCGGTTAGTCCGAACATGGATATTGCGAATTTACGAATATAGCGAAGTTATTTGGGATTCCCAGGAATATAATTTTAACAAATTTCTAATACGAATATACCAAATTACAGATATAACGAAGTAATTTCACAGGTCCCAGTGACTTTGTTATAACCGAGTTTTAATGTATATATATAATATATGCATAATTTATGATACATAATCTATATACCAATTTACCAAATTCATTATTTCAAATAAATAAATATTTTTCTTTAATAGAGGGATGCAAAGGACAAAATTATTTTTGTCGATTAACGATGTTGCAACGATTACTCTTGAGTAGACACTCACAACCAGGAAAGTAGAGGAAGTCTGTTACATCAAATTTAAAAGTTGGTTCAAAGAGAGTGTCAGAAACATTTTGTTCAACAAAGAACACTAATTCAATTTATTTTTGTGCATGTGTTTGCACACCAAACATGATACAGACTGGATAGGATTCTGCCCAATTTGAAAAAAAGAAACCCTACGTAATTCATGTAATTGGTTAGTGTTTGTTTGTATGATTTTTGTTGATTTACTATTATTAACCAAGTGCAATAACATGAAAGAGTAAAAGATAATTTTTCTTTGATGACTAAAAATACATTTCATAAGTATTTTTTAAACTTAAAAAAAGCAATTTAACATAAATCCCTACAGTAAATTAACAACAAGTGAAACAAACAGTCCACCTGCTGAACTCCCATTACAGGGTGACAGCTAGATACAACATTCTATCATTAAATGATACTGTCCTATGGACCCGGTTTAACGATAGAATTTGTTCCATATTTTTGCAATGTAGCAAATTAAGCACCGACGATAACTTGAACTCAGTGCATTTACTAGGAACAATCAAGAGAATTCCAAATGTAAACATGGCGTGTAAATTTGAAGCGAGAAAAAACATTGAGAAAATAGTATGGATTGTTATTGGATTATTTGGTAGGAAATAGGGCATAATAGGCATATACTGTAAACCAACTTTAATTCATGTGCGAGAAATTTTTGCGAAGTTCGCGACATATTTCTCAATTAAAAACCACCGTTTCGTGGTTGAGTTCGACTTTCCACTCTGTGGGCAGAGTTTTGATGCTGTTTACAGAGCTAAATGAAAACCAAAATTATACTATGGGTTAAAAATCTATTTCCGAAACAAGTGCCTGTGGTTGTCAAACCACGGAATGAATTCTATCATTAAAGGTACTTGGACACAGATTTGAAGTTAATATTTTCTCATTTTTTCTGTATAATATCACGAATTATATATTTTAAAAGCATTTCACACAAAAATTAATTAAAAATCTTATTTCATTTAAAAGTTATTAAAACTTTAAATTTTTTGGCGGGTTTGATTGACACATCCTTGCACTTTCATAAATTTTAACTTTATTCTTAATCCTTAGGAAAAGTGGCAATTTTGATGTGTTCTAATGAGAAATATTAAAACTTTTATCAAGAAAAATAATTTTATTCAGAGTAGAAATGTTAGAAAGCAAAACACCTTCACAAGTATCGTCATTCCGAACTAAAGAGATGCGCACAGAGTTTAGCAAATCGAGCACACTCGTGTTATGTACACAGTTTTTGTAAACAGGGCTCGAGTTCTGTTATTGTTTATATTTAGAATTCACCGGGTGCGTTCAATCTTCACAGTCTGCTTACCACAACTGCACGGACTGACAATATATTGTGTGTTTGTTTTGCTTTCGAACGTGTCTACTCTGAATTTTCTGGATTATAGTATTAATATTTTTCATTTATACAAAACGAGATTACCACTTTTCCTAAGGATTAAGAATAAAATTAAATTTGTGAGAGTGTAAGGATTTGTCAATCAAACCCGCCGAAAAATTTGAAATTTCAATATCTTTTAAACGAAATAAGATTTTTAATTAATTTTTGTGTGAAATGCTATTAAAATATATAAGTCGTAATATTATAGAGAAAATAATAACTTCAAATCTGTGTCCAAGTACCTTTAAACCAGGTACGTACGATGATGGAACATTCTATCTAGGTGACAACTGGAAATGGTGCAAAGAAGATCTGCAAGATTCATCGCCAAAGAATATTCAAGAGACCCAGGAATAATTACCGCACTTTTAGATAAACTACATTTACCATCTCTTGAGCTAAGGCGAAAAACATCACGCCTTCTCATGTTTCACAAAATACTACACCAAGAAATTGAAATACCAATACCTGACTACATCCAAACATCAGAAAGATCAACAAGAAGAACACATCAGAAACGTTTCATCAGGCTGAGATCCACTGGAGAACAATATAAGAACAGCTTCTTTTCCAGAACTATCAAGGATTGGAATGATCTACCACCCAATTTATTGAACATCAATTACGAGTCATTCAAGACCAGACTCGTAGAACATCTGAATTAAACACCAGAGCCAAAATTGTTTTTATCCTGCACTACTACTGTAAATAGATGATTTTAAAATGCACCTCTTGTCTGACGTCAAACTTGTGTGATGGGTCGGTGACCTCTTACAAGTGAAGAAGTAGAAGTAGAAGACTGACAGCATAAATTTCAGTTGTTTTAGGCCAGATAAAATTAATTAAACAAAACCGGTGTTTTTTATTTTGATTTTTGGGTATTAAAAGTATATTTTAATGTCCAGTAAGAATTGTTTTTTATCCGTTTGCAAAACTATATAGCAAAAGAGCCTGCAATAAAAATAGATGAAAGGGAAAGATTTTAGAAAAGGCAGAGAAGGAAAAATAGCATAAACACATCTTGATAAGCAAGTTTTTGAAGAGACTTTAAACTACTAGGTAAAAATGATGAGGGAAATGCACTTGTTCAAGTTTTAACGATCTCTACTGTATGTGAGTTTGTAAAAAAGAAATATATAAATAAAACATCTTTGGCAGAATTTAGAGAATAATAGTGTTAAGAAAATATTAAATATTAAAACTGTTCAAGCCTAGGCTTTTCAGTGAAATATTTTATAGAGTTTACAAATATGACCTACTTCAATGTCAAACATGTAAGAACAATCGAATTTTTGAGAAAGGTAGAAATCTGTGATATTATACAAAATTTTGAAACAGAAGGATTTGTTGAAACTAAAAAGTACAGCATAAATTTCAGGCATTTTAAGGAAAAATTTTTAAAGACATTTTATTATTAGAAAAAAGCCCCAATTTTTTAGCAAATTTTCAATTTTGTGGCCTTAAGTATATTAAAGTTTCAATGTGCTATCTTCATTCCTCATCCCTTGGAATTTCTGATGTAATTATTATATAACATTATAAATTATAATTACACTGTATATTACTCACAGCAGCTGCAAGTCAAAGGAAGGATACAAAACTATGTCCGCAATCAGCAAAAACGCTAGGATTCAACAGGAAGAAATTATCCAGGTGAACATAAAATAATAAAAAAAGAAAAATCCCTCATTCAAGGATACGGACCAGTCGCTAGTCCTGTGACCAAACAAATGCTGACGTTCTGACGATCACATACCTGTCGGTTTAATATCGATGGCTATACTATCAATTAATCTCAATTAATTAACCTTACCCTATTAAATGTCTTTCAGCCCTCCTCTTGATTTATTTCAGTGCATATCTTTGATAAATTATGCTAAACTTCTCCTGTTCCGAAATCGATGATCATAAGATTTTACGTCACCAACACTGAAGAATCAGCGAAGGGCGACAACTCCATCTTTATATTGTTAATGCATTCCTTGACTTATTCGACTTTAGATTTGCAGAAAATAACCAATAATTATATTATTCCAGATTTTTATTAAGGTCGATTTTTTAATATATTTTTTTAGAACTATTTTATTCGAGTAAAAAATGGCAAATCCTATTATATATAAAAAATAATTTAGAAATTTAGAATTTGGGAAGAATGAGCTGAAAGGGGGAATATGAAATATTGCAAATATTTTAACAGTTAAGCGAATGAAAATTAAGAGGTGTCATCAAGATGTATTTGTATACAATGTATAATGAATGTTGTCCATAAAATTAGCTTTAAATAAAGTTAATAAAAGAAGGTTAACATGGTTAAAGGTTGTACATGTTCAACTTTCTGTTGTAGCTGGAAATCTGCACTCAAGAACTTACCAAAGTATTCAACAAATAGAAAAAAAGTCAAGGTAATACATGTACAATTTAACATATCTTGGAAATCCTTTTTGTGTTTGTCCTCAGTTCTGTTATTTAGATCATTACGAAGAATTGAGTCAATTTTCTACACAAGAAATGGACATTAGATGTATTTTAACTTTTCCTTAATTCAGTGACCTTGGCGGATCAAGGGCCGCCCCCCCCCCCCCCCCTTGAAATTTTTGTATGTAAAACTTAAACACATGTATGACCATTATCCTAAAATCAAGGAAAAAATATCTATTTGTAAGAGCTTAATTGTTAGCTTCTGGGGGCTTTGCCCCAGGACCCCCCCAAAAAGACCTTGCCTTAGACCCACTGGGGGCTTCAGTACTGCCACTGGACCACCTGCCTTCTGCTGCCCCCCCCCCCCCCCCACCTCCCCCATTACAAGATTCCTGGATCCATCACTGATTTCAATTCCTTATTTTGCATTTAGTTTTATGAATACTTTGTCTAATTTTGTGCTTAGCTCCATCTTTATTATGAAGTATTACTTTCTTGTACCTTTTGAAAACAAAACTTTTCTTGCTTGTATGGAATGTTACCTTTTTCACCTTGAACTAACTTTGGATGGCAAAATTCATGAGTATCTGATTAATCAATGTTTCACATGTATTTAAGATTCATCCACATCTTTTAAAACAAATCAGTTTGCTAAAAGTTCTGGTATAAATTTATTAATCAACCATAAATAACAGACATTTCCCATGTCTTGGTCTCAAATTTCTTAATTTACAAAAAAAAAGCAGAGTGAGCTAGCATGTGGCATTCTTAGCTTATGGACACATTTCTAATTCATTTTCAATGTGGATGCAAAACATCACAAGAGTATTTGTGTATCACAGGCTTAAAAATGATAATTACACAATCGAAAAATGCATTAGAACCACTTTCAAATACTATTTACAGTAAAAACATTTATAATATATATACAATTAAAATCATAAATATTTAGGAATTTCATAAAACAGTACTGTTTACTGTAGAAATCCACACAGAATTAATGCACAGTAGAACTTCTGTATCTCAAACTCCAACAACTCCATAGATACATCAATTGCTCTGAGAGTCCTAACCATTATTTTTTCAATATATTTCTTAATTAATTTCTCATACCTTTCAATACCTTAAATTTTTTCTCTGTCACACTGAGTTTGAGGTATTAAGGCAATATACTGTTTACATATTCGAGACATTTTGAAAATTGAACACATTGCACAACATTATGTAGTATTATTCAGTTGTCCATAAGGCATAAAATGTAAAACTATTCTGTGACTATTTTTTTCCATCCTCTTATTCACTAGAATATTTTCTTGCATTCAATCAGTGATAGTTGCATGTCAATGAGGTGATAAAATGAAAGTTTTCTGAGCTAATTTTTCATTCCACTGGTTGCTTCTCAAGATACCAGCTTAGCCAGATCTGCCTGTAACCAGTCCCATACAATGTCTCCCATCTCATCACTCGCTTCTAAAACAAAGGCATGATCATAGCCCTTCTGACAAAGTTTGATGTCCCCATGGGGAAATTTCTTCTTCATGTCAAAATAGTAAGACTTGGGGCACCAATGGTCGTCTTCGCCATAGTAGAAACTCATCCTGGGGAGGTGCCTCTCTACCAGTTCCTCATCTAAGGCGGCCACCTGCTGCATCTCAAGGTTAGCCATGTACATCACGTTACTGACACAGAACGGGTCAAACAGGTTCATCGAGGCATTGTACACAGACTCCGGTATTTTCCGGCCACTGAAATACCACAGAAGCAGTCTGTACTGTACGTGGGGGGATAAATAAGACGCACCGTGAACTATCGCTGTCCCCAGCCAGCGGAGGTATTTTAACATGGGCGTAGCTACCTGGCCTTTTGGAGACAGTGCCATTCTTTCTATAGTGGGGAATAACTGAAAGCATCTTAGAACATTGCTATGGTCTATCTCATCCAAAATCCTCATGATCATGTAACATCCAATAGAATGACCAATCAAAATCAATTTAACATCTGTAGGAATGTGCTCTTTGATGTATGTAATCTTGTGCTTGATTTGTCCTTCCAAAGAACAAACAGAATAAGAGGCCTTTTCTATTGAAAAAAAAAATTGTTTCACATTAATTACATGTCACAGAATTAGTTAATCAATGACAGACCCCTTACCTTAAATAATAAAACATCAGAATATATTCTTTTGTTATTTTGATCTTGACTATCATAAAAATTATTCCAAATAAGATTTTATATCTGCTATTACCAGTATAAAACTATCATCAATATTTACAAAATCATATACAATGTTTGTATATTATTATATTCTAGCAAAATGTTACAAAATTACAAAACAATGCACAAAACCTGCACACAATTGCCTTATCAAAAAATGAGGAATTATTTCTTTTACTGAAACCATCGAACTTACCGACATCTAATGTTTTCTTAGGAACTGTCACATGACCAGCATGTGATATGCCCCATACAGGAATCTTCTGATCACAGTTCCTGTAGAGAACCTGCATGAATCGCTCATAGTAGTCAATAATTCCTGGATTTCCTGTTAACATAGAATCAAGAAGAATTTTAAAATAACTTCTTTCTCCTCTTCCAATGAAGTGCAAGACTCTGACATTAATTACAGAAGATCGTATAAAAGTTAAGCATTCAAGTACAGTATTGAGTAAACTTGTTTAAAATGAACAGTAATGTAGAAAATTTAAGCATATGGTGAATTTTTGCAGGATTCCTGAAAAATTCTTAATAAATCCTTGTAAAATTTTTAGCTTTAATAAACTCTGATATGGGAAATTTATGGATATAGCAAACTATTATGGGGACTCAGATAGGATACAAATTATGGTATTGAAATAATTTATTTAAATAGAATTAAACATTTAAGATATTGAACTGATGGTATTTTGGGTAAGTTTTGACACGAAACGTTACATAACATTAATAATCAAATGTTCAGCAATTAACCGTCACCTAGCTGCAGAACTGAAGCTCTCCAAAAAAAAATATATTGAAAGAGTGGAGAGCTACAGTGCCACCCATTGAAAAAACTGTATATTCATTGCGCACAAAAAGTTGCACTTAGTTCTGGATTAATTGTTCCAAATTCTTACTTAAATTGTAAAAAGTCAGATTTCCAAAAAATTCCTTACTCCTTTATCAAGTATACTCGTAGTTTACATCTGCACGAAGAAGCGCATTGGACTGAATTATCTTGCAAACCAAAATGGCAGTATACTATAAATAGACAAAGTTTTCGATGATCTCGATTTCAAAGCCAGGAGGCCTATTAACAACAATTATAAGGTATGTTTTGTTGTGGAAACAGTGTAAAAATATGCTAGGAACACATGGATCCGATAGTAAACTTTTGAGATGACAGTTTTAAAAACATGGAGAAATAAATATGGAAACAGTGCACTTTTTTGTGCTCAATAAATATACAGTTTTTTCAATGGGTGGCACTGTAGCTCTCCGGTCTGTCAATATATTTTTTTTCGGAGAGCTACAGTTCTGCAGCTAACCATCACTAAGGTAAACAATGCTTCACCATAATGAAAATGACAAAAGTTTTTTCTTGTGTCTGTTGAATGTACTGAAATTAGAATGGATTCAGAAAACTGCTTACCTGGAATGATCAGAAACAGATATTTTGAATTTTCTGTGGTACCATACTTTAACACATGCGTCATTATTCCACAAAGTGGAACAAATTCACTCTTCTTTGCATCTTCCTCCATGTTTTACCCCAGTGTTACCCTGTCAGGATTATAAACGTAAAATTCCTGTATTAATAAAGCTTTGTGCTAATGTTTAAACACTTTTGGAGATTATAAGAGACAAACATTTATTTAAACATGCGATTAATCAACTGATAAAAAACAAGTGTACTTTGGACACCCAATTTATCAGCTGTTTAGCATTGTTTAAAGATTCTAGCGTAATGTTTAAAATCCTTTTTTTTCAGTAATAATAAAACTGAAATAAAATTCAGCAATTTCTAAATTCATGGAACTAATAACATTTTCAAAAACTTTGTAAAATAAGCAGATGTGGAATTCTAAACATTACCAACTTACCTTTTTATCTCCGGAATATCCGCATGAGTATTTATGTAACTTAACACACTGAAGAGTTCCACAAAGAGATGTCTGGCCTTTTTTAGCTCACCTGAGCCGAATGCTCAAATTTGTCCGTTGTCTGTCGTCGTCGTTGGCGTAAACTTAAAACTTATCACAATTTCATCTTCTTCTCCAGAATAACTCGTGGCCAATTTCAACCAAACTTGGCACAGACTTGGCACAGAGTATCCTATGGTGGAGGGGATTCAAGTTTGTTCAAATGAAGGGCCACACCCCTCCTCCAAGGGGAGATATTGATGAAATAGTGATAAATTAATGGCATCTTTTAAAATCTTCTTCTCAAGAACCACTGGGCCAGGAAAGATTAAACCCAAGTGGAATCTTTGTGGTATAGATTCAAGTTTATTCAGATCATGACCCCCGGGGGGTAGGGTGGGACCATAATGGGCAAAAAGTTTTTTTTCATAGGAATACATATCAAACATCTTTAAAAATCTTCTTCTCAAGAGCTGCAAAGCTATGATTGGTCTCATTTACATGTAAACATCTTCAGCTGTGTCCAGGTAGTGTAGATTCCAGTTATTTCAAATCATGACCCCCGGGGTTAAGGTGGGACCATGATGGGCAATCCAATAGTTTAATAGGAATATATATAGAAAAATCATTGGGTCAGGAAAGATGAAACGCAAGTGGACTCATTCTCAGGTGGTGTAGATTCAAGTTTATTCAAATCATGACCCCGGGGTAGGGTGGGACCATAATGGGCAAACCTTCTTCACAAGCAAAGAAAATTAAGCCATGGATAGTGTAGATTCAATATTGTTCAAATCAGAACTCCTGGGGGTCAGGTGGGGACACAATGTGGGATCAATTTTAACATAGGAATATATAATAAAATGTCTTTTAAAAAAATCTAGAGAAGAGCAAATCCAGTCATGATTAGTGATTTTTCATATGGAACCAATGGGAGACCCCGCAGATGTTTTAGATTCAGATTTGTTCAAATCATGACCCCCAGGGTTATGGTGTGACCACAATGTGGGATCAAAGTTTTACATACGAGGGTTGTCCCGTAAAATCGTGGACAAAGCGTTTTTCTCGAAAAGTAATGGGCGCACTACGCTGAAAATTTCAGTAAATGTTTATTTATCATATTTAAGTGCATGATAACTTTTTTGATAAAATATAGGCAAAAATAAAGATTTTATTATGCTTGGATGTGCACGGGGTATTGTCCTACGGCGCACGGTCAAAAAACCAAAGTTTTATTGAAGAATACACAAGTTTGAATTCAAAATTAAAGTTTTAAATACATAAGAATTGATTAAAATTATCCTAATTCAATTCCACAATAAATTTTGTAGTCTTTGTAAAAAATTTTAGGCATTTGGTTAATTTTTGGCAGTTTCTCGAGTATTCGAAATGGGAAAGTGGTAAACACAACACACGAAAAATGGCGACGTTTTTTGACGTTACGGCGTACCGGAGAACAGTTCAGTTTTATTTCGATGTTGTAATGACACCTTTAGAGACTTGAAATGACCATAGAAGAAAAAAGATTATAAAAATATCACCATATCTTAAGTATACAAATGAAATAGATGTTTTCTTAGCGATGTTTTTTTTTTGATCGAGTCCCTGGGAGTACAAAACATACGGACAAACTCGTTAATGTAATAGCAAAAGACGCTGTCACAGTAGACCGCCGATATGAGATTTTCTATTAGTTAAATGATGGTGAGAATATTGTCCGTAACTTACTAATAAATCTTCAGAAGATCGCATGAGGGTGCCAATTGGTTCTTCGGCTGTTTATGGAGACTAAAGAATGTGTATCAATGAAATTCCTAAATTTAAGTCTCATCTCATTTTCAGCAAAAATAAAACGTGACGCTGTTTTTGACACTTTGACGTTATAATCCATGCGCCGTAAGATGATACAATACATGGTATAAAATCTCATAATTTGTTTATTTATGGATATATTTATCTGAAATTTGCGGTATATATTAATAAAATATGTACTAAATAATAGTGAAAATTTCAGAACGCAGTAATGTTTATTTTTCACACAAGACAACTTGTCCACGATTTTACGGGACAACCCTCGTACATTTAGAATATATAGGATAAAATCTTCTTCTCTAGATCAGAAAAGTTATGTAGTCAAATTATCATGTAGTGAAGATTATCTTTTTTTAATCATGACCAGGGGGTGGGGTGGGGGGAAGGTGTAGGGAGGGGCGATAATGGGAGATAATTTTTCGCAAAGATATATGTAGAGATAAAAATCTCTCTTTTTAAGAAAGGTAAAATTATACATTTATGCTATATTGATATGGTGCCATTTTCAAGTAGTATAAAATTCACAACACCACCAAGTAAACTCTTAAATACCCACCTGGTTTGTGTTTTTTACCTAGCTAAGGTTAGCGATGCGGCCTATGGACCTTTTTTTTTAGGCTTGCTCATTTTTCACTATGGAATGAAGCTAATTTCAACTTATGTTATACGATATAACATAACTTGGGGCAGTTTACGCTTTATAAACCGCGAAGCGAAGCGGTTTATAAAGCGTAAACTGCCCCAAGTTACAATGAAGCGCATTGAAGTGGTAAAATTTTCCATTTGAATGAAACGTTCTGAGTCATGTTTTGAACGTCAGTTATAACATAACGACACGCCCATTTCTTTAGAAACGAGAAAGCAATATTTGTCGTTATGTTTTAGGACACTACACTTTCCGCGACAAGCAACGTAAGTTACACTGAAATTGAGATTTTTAAATAAGAAAGCTATAAAAGCTATATATAGAGTTCCCGCTTATGTAAAACACGCATTGCATCGAATTTGCACATAATTATGATTTTAACATGTTTATTTGAGTTAGCATAGAACATGTATCAGTCGAACACGTGCTTACTCGGTGTTTATGTAGACCGTCAATTTACGAAATACCTTGAGAACAGGTATTCGATTAAATCATTTGACCGAGTTCTCCTTTCTAAAGAAATGGGCGTGTCTAAAGATAGCTCAAAACGTTCCATCCAAACAGAAAATTTTACCACTTCAATGCGCTTTATTGTATGTTATATCGTATAACATAAGTTGAAATTAGCTTCATTCCTTATAATTTTATTTTAGTGTAGGCAATGAGACAATTTTTCCTCTGGAAAAAAAGGCCTTTGAATAAAGCATATTTTAAAAGTAACGTAATGCGGAGTAATTATGTTTTTGACGTAACTCATTGTGACGTAGGCAAGTTATGTTATACAAAATATTACGTGTTCCTCTGAATGATTCAGCCAATGAAATTGCTTGATACAAGTGAAATTAAATTATTTAAAAATATACTCCTTTTCAAAGTTAAATTATTTTCAAACTTTGCTAAGTTATTTTGGATATCATATTTTAATTTTAGATCTTAACTCCTATATATGACAATAGACAAGATGAGAGGAATTCTGATAATTACTCAAGCCCTAGAGGGGCTTGAGTTATCTAAAACGATGCTAGGTCATCGAATTACTCAGTTTAAAATTACAAAAATATATTATTTTTGTAGATAAAAATATTTCTAGAAACAAAAATGAAGCTTATCTTGAAAACGTCTGTATATTCAAAGATACTGAGTGTTAAATAGCGGATTATTTTCTATGGCGAATGAACAATGAGTGAAGCGTCGCAGCCGCAACAGTTTCTATACAGAGATTTCACGCTTTCCTTTGCGTATGAATCTCAGGTAACTTTTTACAGTCGCCGACAAAGCATCCTTGGACGAGTCCACTGCAGACTCTGAAAGGTGATGCAGGTTACCCCATCGTTAACAAATTCTACAATGCATGACCAGAAAATGTATGGCTGTACCCCCCCAACTGAAATTGCTTTTCACGGGCCTTCAAATGATGTTTAATTTGAGAGACAGTAAAATAAAAGCACAAAATCAATGTTAAATTCTCTTATTAAGCTTTGGTACCGGAAATTATATACTTCTTTTGGTTCGTACCGAATATGCATTGGACATGCCGCTCAGATAGATGAACCCCATCGTCTCAAGCCACGGTCCGCAGTAGGAGAGGATCGTACATTTTGTCCGTGGTTTGCAACGATGGATGAACCCGTAGTCACGTGGATTTTTTTAGAGCCTGGAGCCCCCCCCCCCTTCCCCCTTTCACTTTGAAAAAACTTTTCTACAGGCTTTTAGCAAGCTATCTTAATTGATGTATGTATTGAATGAGATGTACGTCATTAAGCAAAAAATACAAAAACGTATATAGTTTGAAGTACATTTATACTAAATGTCTACATAAAATATTTCATTAAGAAACGGAAACGTTACTATGCTCTATAAAATATTCCTGAAAATGTGTCACGTAAATTCATCTTAAAAAGTAATTAAGTACGATTAATAATGTTTTTTTTTCTAATAAAATTCAATATATGAATGTTGTTTCATGTATACAGTCATGTAGTTTATTCAACAGAGGATTGAACTCAATATATAGCCCTCATCTTAAACCATTTTAGGATATAATGATACTTCCTATTCGACTTTCTACAGCTTGAGTATTTCTGACGTTTTGTCAGTATATACTTGTTTTTATACTGTGGTAAATATTTTCATGATATGTTTAAAGCTTCAAGAAGACAATAAAAGAAAATGATGGTATCCAATAAGATTAAATTTAACTGTATTATCTTATTAGATATTAGTACTGTACTAAAGTTAAGACAGGGTAATATTTTTTTCTACTGAAATTAGTGAATAAAATTATGAATTTTCTTTCTTTCGTCCGTTAATCAAGTATTTTGTTAGAGTTACTGCTCTTTGCTTTTGATGCATCTCGTGATGTAGCAAACACACGCAATGATCGGACAGTGTGACATAAGATATATCGACGATTTAAAAAATATATATATAATATAAGATATATCGATGATTTTAAAAATATAGATATATAATAGTTTTTCTCATAATTAAAATGTCGATTCGATTTTTCTCCGACAACAATCTCGACAGAATGAGTCGATCGGCAGATAAATTGTGGTTACAGGGATTTCATTGACCTCGCTGATTCCATCACTAGAATTTCCGGGGGTCCGTTTGTGCTTTACCCCCGTAATTCCCAAACTTATTTTTTTCTTCTGTTTCATTTTATTTTTTTATGATCAGTTGGTAACGGTTTGTTATATTTTCAAAATACGTTAAAACACAGTTGTTTGGTTCATACATACAGTACGCTTATAGTTTACTACATTATTATTGTTGTAAGTATGTATTACATAACAAAGAAGCGTATTGTATGAAACAATTGGGCGTCTGTTTTTATATTTTGATAAATCTTTGAAAAAATGATGGATTTTTTCAATGAATTTGATATACATGTGTGTTTCGAAAAGGAAATGTTCACCTTTATTCGAAATATCTCAGTAAACATTCAAAACCCTACAAATTCCAATGAGTCTCTTATATTGTATAGAGGGGTATTTTTTAGTGGAACTTATGGAGATAACGAACAGTATTCAAGATCAAAAGTCCATAAAACAATACAAAGTAGGAGCAGAGCAAACATGGACCTCCAAAACATCAGAGGTGGGATCAGGTGCTATGGAGGACAAGGCCGTAACTACCATTGAGGCAAGTGAGGCAAATGCCTCATTAAAATTTTACAGTTTTCTAAAAAGTGAAAAAGTTTTACATTGAACTAATATGAAACATAAAATTATGTATCTTCATAGTAAATAAATATTTTCAACTTTTGTTTCAATTTCTCCAAAGCGTTCATCTCACCAGTTTTCCATTTAGAACGCATGTAAAATATAATTCAAAACGTTTGTTTTGTAAATTGTTTGATTGTTTAACATCCCTTCTAAGATTTTATCATTCATATTGAGACACTACTACTTGCCGGTGGAGGGCTGCACTGGGCTTTCCGGGTCATTGAAGATGATGGAAGAGTGAGAGAACTTTTTGTGTCATCTCTTACTGTGGCATACAATGTAGGATCATGGTCTCCACATCCTGTAGTGGGATTCGAACCTGCGATGTTAGGATCAACTCCTTAGTCTGCGACTCTACAGAATACGCTATAACCACTGTGCCATATGCGGGTGACAAAATACTTTCCAAGATTATATCTTTTGTTTTCTAATACCCAGGTTTCAGGATCCCCCTCCCCCTGGAAACCCCATCACTTATCATCATTTACTACCCTTATACCCCGTCTGGGACTAAAATGCCCATCACCTTTGCCTCACTAAATATTTGAGCCTAGTTACGGCCTTGCAGGAGTGAGCATCCCTGGAACGATTATTTGGGGGTTTTCACAAGTTTTTTCTTATGGTACACATGATGAATAAGTGTAATAAATATGGCTTATGAAAAAAATGTCTAACAAGTCGCGGGGGTTGAATATCGGGGGGGGGGGGGGACTTTCCACAAGTACCTGTGAGTTTTAACCTGACGAAGGGCTGCAAGCTAATGTATACGGATTTTAAGGTTATCTACGAACTTTCAAAATCGAGAGCTATTCCCCTGTGGATCCATCCGATTTTTTTTTTAAATTTATATGTTTTTGATGTATTTGATTGTGTGGAATTAAAAATATCTTTAACACTAAATCTACAGGTTTTATCATCTTTGGAGCTCAATGATTCTAGAATGGATCCTCTTTCTGTATGGCAGATTTAAACATTTTCTATCCAACATTTTAATGCTTTGTTCGTTTTGACAACAACAACATTTTTATTTTAGAATAGGTGCACCTGTGCTGATTTTTATCTGAGACACAAGGCTGTACGTTCTTTGCGAACACTTTTACGAGCGAGCTACTTCGAACCGTCGCACCTAATGACCTGTTTTGAGGTAATTACAGTTTTACCTGTGCTTGTGTAGTGTTCGACATGCTTTTGCGGCGAGAGAAAAGTTTTCTGTTAATATTGGAATTTACTTAAATCATAAGTGATCAATTGGTTATAAGTCTTTAAAGAGACAATATGAAGTAATATAAGTGAACAAAATTCCTTGGACAAGTAATCGTGTTTGGAAATACCTTCATTATTTGATTAACATCAACAAAATATTTGACATTTTTGTATTGTGCTAATCATGGCGGATTTCTTTCTTTGTCTTTGGACGGCGTTGTTTTTTGTCAGGACGGTTTTAGCATCCTCTGCTTATTATGTAGACAATGGCATCGGACAAACGGAGAAGGTTCATGAGATGAACTCTCGAGATAAACGGGAGCTCCAGCATGAGATACTGACATTACTTGGTCTACATCAAAGACCAAAACCGAAATCCAGCACCACCAAGGATTCAGCGCCGACTTTTATGTTGAGTCTGTATAATTCCATCACATCAGATAACGGTGTAGTGAGAGATGACAGTACTTTTCACACAAGTCATAACGTGACGGTGGGGGATAGTGTCGTCCAACCCATAGAGGGGACCGATGTTATCATTAGTTTTGTCAACAAAGGTAAACACAGGTGGTCAGCATGGTCAAGACTTAGTACTTTATGGAAGAAGCATAATGAATTATTAATTACTTATTGACTTATTTGTCTAACTAATTAATCATGTTTAAAATGGTATACTTAAAAAAAAACCCATTGATTTTAGTTTTGAAGCTTAATAAGCAAAATTTTAATTTTAAAATTTAGCAAGTAACAATTTTACATTATTTTGATAGGACTGCATAGTGTAATAAATATCATACATTGTCAAATGAATGAATTTCAGCAAGTACGGGTAACTAAAAATTTTTTAGTCTTTAGAAATAGAATCCTGGATCACAAATACAAATCAAGTCATTTTGTAGAAGAAAATTTACACTTGATTTGTATTTGTGAAAAAAAAAGTAAAATATTCGTGTGAATTTGTTTTATAAAAGTAGATGAACATTGTGTTTCTTAAAGACTCTGCTTGAGTCCTCACCCCCTGCCCTGTACAAAGTATCCATTAGGAGTATGAATCATATCACAACAATAATGTTCTATAAACTATCTGAGGAGCTGGTTTGATGAGATGAGAGACATTTTCTGCTCAAACACTCATTGATTTCAGAATTTTCTTTATGGCCACAAATTATAGCCTTTCACCAGACCTTCAAATGGCTGCATTTAGGAATTAGTTTTGTGTTTTGTGGTGTAGATATATCATTAAGCTCATTGTGAGAACTCCGATATTTGATGGGTCGTAATGTAAAGTCTGTGTATATAGACTACAGACAAAAATCTGGCCCCTCAATACAAACTTTGTCTGAGATCCAAAGTGCAAATTAGGCTCCTGATTTATCAGAGCACTCTATGTAATTAGGGCCAGTGTACATGCGATCCCCCAGTTTTGTACTTTCTGTTCAGAAGCAGCAGTTTTTGTAAGTGCCTGTTCAGGAACAGAGAAAAACCTGTATGCTGGTATAATGAATATACCGTAATCTATGGTGGTTCAACTAGACAAAAAATTCAAGACCTTGAAAAAATTAAGGGTAAAAAAGGGAAAGGGATTTTTTGAGAACTTTTGTTTGAAGAAATCTGTTTTATTTTTTTCTCCACATTTATATTCTTTGAAAAAAAAATTAGTTTTTAGTGATGTTAAAACTGTTTAAAAAAAAAACAACTTGAACATGTTGAACTGCCTTGATTTAGGAATTTACACCACTTAGAGTTCCTGAGAAAAAAGATCTTTATAAATAAAAATGTTGGAACTGGAAATAAAACAGACTAGCTTCAAGTTTTTTTTTCTCTTTTTTTCAAGGTCCTAGGATACCAAAAAATCTTAAGAAAGTGGGTATTGATCATAACTCTTTGTAGCAGTGGTTTGGATTTCAAATTAATTTGTTACATTAATAAATTAAAAGAGTATTATAAACTTTTTATTTTTTCATGGTTTTGCATTGAAATTTGATATACACTGATATTAAAACATTTTGGAAGAATGCAAAAAATAAGAAAAGGCTTGATAGATGACTTGACAATAACAATTATAAAGTTTTTTTGGGGAAATCATTAAGGAATACAAATTGTTTTACAAATTTATATAGCTTTCTTCATTATTCTGTTCCCATTCTGCAATTTTTGTTGATTAATTAATCAATTTAAATTGTCAACATATCCTGATTTATGATGATTAATTAACACAACAAACTCATATTTTAAAATAATATGTTTTTACAGAATCTAAAAGTATTGCAGATTTTAAAAAAGTGATAGCAGATACTACTCAAGTAATTCACCCCCCCCCCCCTTTCAAAAAAAAAGTAATTTGATGTAGATCTATCTTCTATATTGACGTTCATTTTTTTTAATTAATTTTTTTAAACTTAAAATTTTTATTTTTGAATTATGTTTCAAACATGTTTCTCATTTAATAATAGTTATACTCTTTTATCAATTAATGTTACCTATGTTAGTTATGCAAAATTGTAAAAGTTCCAGACCTCTGATTCATTATTAAATATATAGTCTAAGAAGTCCCTATGTGTTAATTGGAATACCAGTGCCTAGAAAATAAATGGAATTCTTCGAGTTATGTCAGTGGCAGAAATATTTTGGCCTATTATAAAATTGCTGTTGTCATTGGCAGAATTAACTTCTGTAAAGGTTTCATGTACTCATAGTCATAACATGACATTTGATCTTTGTCTTTATTTTTTTGTACTTTAAAGCCAGAAGAGTTCCACACCTGCGGCATGAAAAGGACAGGACCTTTTTCTTCGACTTCAGTGATGTTACCCCTAAAGAAACCGTGGTGGGGGCAGAGCTAAGAATTTATAAAGAAAAAGCCAAAAGGTGGAAAAAGAACCATGATTTCCAAATTCAGATCTATATGATAAGACAAGGAATTGACATGGAGTAAGTTGTATATTTTGATGATCAATTGATCATTGTATTGTTCTTGTAAGTCATTAAAGTCAGGGAAAATCCCATCTAACAGGAGAGAGGTTTGGTTGTGGCATTAAAAATGCAATGATGCATGAAGTCTGTTAGTGCTGTTTCCTCCTGTTTGATTTTTCACTGGTTGATTTGATTTTTTGTGAAGGCGGAACATTTACCATATTTACATTGATTGGAATTTCACCTTTACATATCTCATAAGAAATATCACTTTGTCCCCTAATAAAACAAAATTCATTATTTTTAAAAGGTAAAGCAGTACAAGATACATAAATTAGTGGTTCATCAACTCAAAGAAATCTAAAATGAAGGTCATAAAGTCATTTTTTTGGGGGGGGGGAATTTTCATTGTTTTCAAGGTTTGAAGAGACCCACAAATTTATGACCACTACGAAATGTAATTTTTCACATATATTACTACTCAACAATTTTTATACGCCCGTCTTAAGACGTGACGTATTATGTTATAGGCTTAGTGTCCGTCCGTCTGTCTGTCTGTCCTGTCTGTCTGTCCGTCTGTTAGCTTTTCTCGTGTCCGGCTCATAACTTTAATGGCCGGTTGCGTACCTATGGTTCAGATAAGTACAGCTCAATGGTTGAATATACAGACGGGTTTAAACCCCAGTTGAGTCTTCGCATTTTTGTTTATAAAACTGAGTAAGGTTTACCTAATCTTGACTTACTCGTATAAAATTTTAGGATATAGGTTTCCTAATATTACAGCACTTTAAAACAAGTTTTAATATTAGTAACTGGTTGAAAATTAAAAGGATATATTTAAAAACAATTATATATATTGATGTTAGATTGTAAATTGATAATGCTTAAAAAATGCAATACAATTTACATGATTTAATTCAAATCACGGCATCTTTCATCGAAACTCAAACCATAAGAAAATATAAAAACGCAAACAGAATACAGCTTTTGCAAAAGACTGAAGAGAAGAAAACATAGATGGGGGTATTTGGAAATTACTTAGGAAGTAATTTAGAAACAAAATCAAAACACAATATATAGTTAGATAATAAAGGAAAAATGTATAAATTTAGATTTTTAGTTGAAAATCGAATGGAAAAAAACTTATAAGACATATTTTTTAGAAAACACTTATTATTATCTACAGTTTTGTAGAATTTTAAAAAGCGGCAAAATTATAGGGGACAAACATACCCTCCTCCCCCCCCCCCCCCGGCCCTCAAAAAAGTGATTCACTTTAACTGCAGATCTACACCTCAGGAAATTGATGTGCATTTTGGAATGTGTATTTTTTTTAAACTTTAATTTGATTTTTTTTGGTAAAAAAAATGTTTCATAAAATTCCTGTTTGTACATTTAATGCAATTGTTATAGTATCTTTCATCAATTAATGTTACCTATGTTAGACACATTGAACATGCAAAATTGTAAAAGAAAAATCCCCATGCAACATGGCCAAAAAATTATTATTAAATATATAGCTTTTTTGATACTGTAAAATATATCAATGTGTTAATTGCCAAAAAACAGTGCCGGAATATTTCAAAATATAAATGGAATTCTAGCATCTATACTGGAAATTGTAAAGCTGGGTTTAAACCACCTGTACACCAGGCAGAATTTAGTAAATATTTACTCAACCAATCCTTACATGCGTGCAACTAAAATTGCTTTAAACCCAGTCATTGGAAGATTTAACTTCTGTAAAGGCCATAATACTATAAGGCATAACATGACAAACTTTGTCAGCTGATACATCTTGGGTAGAAGGTGTGTCTTGCACTTTAAGTAGGTCACTCTGACCTTTAATAGAGATGCTATAGCCAAATATGGAAAAATCCTGTCCGGCTCATAACTAGAAAACTATGAGACCTAGAGCTTTCAAACTTGGCAAAAGTGTACAGCTAAAGTAGAAGGTGTGTTGCGGCCTATTTCAAGGTCACTGTGACCTTTGATTTTAGTGAATTTTTTTAAAAAACTAAGTCTTTTAAATTTTAAACTTCATAATCCTAAAAAATGTAAAAATATAGTTGTATCCTTATTAAAAAATGTTAAATTAAGTAAAAACTTATTTTTTCATTATATACTTTACAGCAATCTGTAACAAATGCTTATGCTTTGAGAGGAATTTAGTTTGTCCCATGGGCATAATTATCAAGCACTGGTCAAGAAGAATTTTGATAGCAGAAACTTGCATGTCAAATTAGAGAGAAATTAATGAGTTTATTGTCAGGAGAGAGAGCTGTTATCTTAATTTATCTCTTGGGAGTTGGGCAAAAAGAAATGGCATAGTTGCTTGTGTTAATTAAAGTTCTTGATGGCTAGTCCAGATAAAGATCTTCCAATTGGTATAATGTAATTAAAACAAATTTATGTTTTAGTGTATGATTAAAACTAAATTAGTATTGTATAATATAATTAAAACTGTTTATTAATATACATGTGTTCATTGAAAAAAAATATATTTTCAATTTTTATATATATTTGCAACAAATTGCAGTCATGTCTCACTTAGAATTGTATAGTCTGAAGAAATTATAATTTATGTTTGATTTTTTTTATTAAACTGTAGCATTTTTATTATTTCATAAAATATGCAATAAACAATTTAAGTTTAAGTAAGCTGCAGATGGATATTTGTTCTGCTCTAACACAACCAGTTTAGAGTTATATGATGTATTTGTTATAATCAATCCCTACATTGCAAGTCTCTTAGAGATGTATGATAAGAAATGGAAATTAAATCATTGAAATCTGTGTCAATCTGTTAATCAAGGCTATATTTTATTGCACTAACCAATTTATTATTATTGAACAATATTTGACGGGCGTATCATGCTGTGGCGGGGCACTTTATTCATTTACGAAATCAAAGCCTCAAAAACCCATATTTTTTTCTGAGACCACGAAAATTGCCCCCACAAAATTATATGATTTTACAGTAATTTACATTTGATATCTTGAATCCTTGGATATCTTGAAGTCTTTTTTTGGTCCAATGGAGTTTGAGATAGTGAGATTTGACTGTAATTAAGTGATGCGACTTTTAAATCCTGATAATAGTTAATAAGAATGTTGACATTGTCATCTTGAATGCCTGGAGATGGATGGCTGATATAAAAGCAGCCTTGGATGAGAAAAAATTCAGTCAAAAATCAATAATTTTTGGGAGAGTTGGAACTATATCTGAACCTTGAGGGAAGGTGTTGATGTGATAATTATGACAGTGAAAATCATAAAGCAGTCAAATGGTAATACACCAGTCTGATGGAGGTAATTATTTCCTGTGGTGAATCTAATTGCTTGTTTTAGCTGTCTCTGTAGATAAAATAGTGAATTTGTTAGGAGAGTTAATGCAGAAACTCATAATCTCTTGTTTCAATCCACAGGCTTTCTCTTTGTTAAGCTATCTGGAATCTGTTAAGTTCCATGGAAACTTTTAATTTCTTATACATTTTATCTTTTACAAGTTTTTGAGCTGTATAGATTTCACAATGTCCATCTGTTTGTCTGTCTAATGCTGGAACTTTATCAATGGAAAATGAAAATGCTAAAGGGTATATTATGAATCTGCTCTAAAGGTCATTTGCACAAGAAATTTATTGTAAATTCAGAAAATTTAGATGTTGTCTTGCTTAAAACTTGGCCATTGGAGAATACATACATACATAAGAGTTGGAACACTCACAGCTTATTTAAATATGTATTATTTTAATGATCTATTTTAGATTTTTAAAAATATTTTTATATGCACCTAAATTTATGGTATGATGTACTTTTATGTTTTTTGTTGAGTTGCACATCTGAATATTTTAAGAATACAATATATTACCATTTCCTGGCATTTCTCATTAAAAAACTAATCTAACATATATATCCATAAAAATCAGTTCAACTGAAGATAATGACCCTACCCCATTTCTTTGTAGAGATAAAATCCTGGAGTCTATCTCCAATGTAACAGTGCAGGCGAGAACGGAGGGGTGGATCACGTTTAACATGACACGGGCGGCAGAACTGTGGTCCATGCAGCCAGAGACCAACCTAGGACTGTTTATGAAAGTCTTATTTATCATTAAAGGTAACTTACATACAGAATGAAAGAAACCAGAGTCCTTCCTTTGCAGTCTCTGGGGTTTAAGGGTACTCTGTAGTTTTTGATTGTCATTTACTTGATGAAGAAAGGTAGTCATTTGTAAAGTGTGTATGTATTTGTATGCTGTAGGAGATTCTGGTAAGAAGTATGTACTAAACCTGTTTACTCTCAAGATTTTCTGTTAATTAATTTGATTAATGAGAGAAATTAGAAATCAACTAAACTTTTCATTAAAACTTTTCTTGGTTTCTTTGAATTGAAATGATGTTGAAAACAAGAAATTTGAGGAAATTACAAACATAAAGCTGCTGACAAAGAAAGGTATTCTTATAAACAAAATAATTAAATTTTGAAAGCACACAATTTTAATGGTTTAGAATATCAGGAGTTAGTTTTAATTTCATAAAGTTGTTTAGACACAGCTGTACATTTGTTAAAGCTGAAAAAGCCTTGTGTTGCTTGGATCTCTGAGCGGAGAGAATGTGGTTAGCTCTGTAAATATTATTGAATTACTGTAATTCTCTCTGTGAACTGTTTCCCTGCTTTCCGCCTACTTGCTCTATACCAACATTGCTTAGATATCATCATTAAAATAACAGTGATTCAATGAATGTAATAATTAAAGAAAATGTTGGCATTCTTTAAGTACAAGATGAATTAGCTTACATTTTGTATTGTTTACACATTTCAATGATATCTTTCCATCATTGAAGTATATTTATATTCTTAATGTCCCCCTCACAACTCCCATCCTAAAACAGTGGACGACAGTGTCATCTGAATCGACTGACGATTATATCTCTACTTCTGGCAAATGAAAGCTGATGCCTGTTAACCCCTCCTTGCTAGGAATATTTCATAACAGTGTACATGTCTCCATATTAAGGTTCTCATTGTATAAGAGATTAATTCTATATATGCAATCAGTAACAAACTTAGAAGAAATATGACATGTACTATTAACTTAATTTGAATTTCAAGTCAATGAGATGCCATTAGTGCTTGTTATTGTGATGTCATCAACAAGTGCTTGCCATTAAATTGCTTGTATTGTGATGTCACCAGTCCTTGTTATTGTGATGTCATCAACAAGTGCTTGTCATTAAATATATCACCAGTCTTTGTGATGCAGCAATCCTTGCTCTGAAATTCCAAGCATACTGTTTTACTTTCATATCTTAAAGATAAATTGATGAGGAAATGACCCTCAAAACTAAAGGATTGTTTAACTGTTAATACAATTCTTTTTTTTCATTTTGGTCAAATAAGTACCTGTATTTGTTGTCATGAAACTTTAACACTGCGTAATGCCAAAAATATATATATCAATCAAGATGATCATTGAATTCAGCTGATTTCCGATTAGAATGTGTAAATATGAAGTAGAGCAGTAATACACGGGACCAGCTGTCTCCTAAACTTCTATTCATAATGATATTTAAATTGAAAAAAATTAGAACAATGTAACAATCCTCTATGGTCTAGATATTTTATTTAATTCACACCTGGCACTTAAATTATAATCAAGGCCCAGCGTATAAGTAGAGAGGTTAGACGCAATCAAGTTCAGTTTGTCATACCTGTGGTTTAGGAAGATTTGATTATTTTAAACCCCCGAGTTTCAGTTGTTACTTCTATTGATGAATTTTACTACTATCTACTTTTGATCATTAGTTACGGATTATGATTTGAAGTTTATTTTTATTGATTTAATGTTATTTCTCTTATAATGTGAAAATGTAAAAGTGTTCAAAGGTATTAATTTCCTAAAAAAAATTTTGAAATCAATTCAAAACAGACTTCTTAGCGGTTCATGGTTTACAAAATCTCTTTCAAGTTAATTGTAAACTTTTCTTCAATTCTACACAGCACCCATTAAAGCTTGTTTTGCACACCTGAGTTTTCCAGCCACCTGTTCATTTAGCTTTGATCCACCTTACTGGCATAAATTAAATTCTAGTCCAAAACACAACAAGAGATAAAGGGACTGAAGTCTATAAATTGTCAGGCAATATTAATGCTATGTTAGTCACAGCACTGACAAGTTAGGGATTTGACAAGTCCATTTAAAGGCTATCATCTCTTGGGATATCTGTATTAAAAGGGTTTTTATCTTGACAGGAGATGAGAAAGTTATGTAAAACTTCAGCCAGATTTTACTTCTGCATTCTTTAGAGATTACGAGGATTTTGTGTCATCTTTTTGTTTTGGTTATTTATCAATATAATGGCAATCACCAGAGAACAAAAATGAGAGCTACATATACACTCAAAAATTTGTCACCATAATCTAGAATTTTGTAAACAAAACACTCCACTCATGCATGATGAATCAGAATAAGTAGAATTTTTAGCTAGGACTCAATATTGGAATTATTAAGAGGGGTTCTGATATCGCAGTTGAATATCGCTATAAATAATTAATTCTCTGTTGTTTATGGCTATATCTCTTGAACTTGACATTATAACATCACTAAAATTACTTTCGTCATCAGTTTAAGCCAATATTTTGTGAAAAATTGCGAAATTTGTGTCTTCCTAAAATTTCCTCTCATATGGTACACACTTGACATTCATCATTTCAGCCATGATAATTTACTATAATCATACAATTTCTTGATTATGATTATTGACAAGTGTACAATAAGAATATCTCTTTTAAAATTAAGAAGATCTGCATATGTAAAGCTGAACAGATTTTAGGAGGGCATCTGCAGCCTGTCTGAGGTCAGTCAGTGAGGAATCTCTTCCTGTTATACCACATGTTACCATTGTTATACTTAATACACACAAATATTCTACAGATATTGCAGTAAAATTCTGAAAAAATTTCTTTGTTTTGTTCAGAAATGATAATCGTATGAAATAATCAGGGACCTGATACTTCTAGGCTTGGTCAGTTGTAGTTTGATATGTAGTGTGGTCTAGACCTACTATTTATTTTGATGTAATCATTAATCAAATGGTGACATTAATATTTCTGTGGTCCAGTGTGAGTGTATTATTACATGTTCTGCTTTTACAGTAACTTTGAAACAGAGCGGTATAAAACTTGGGACTTTTATTAATGCAGTACTGCATATCTACATGCATGTAAAGTAGACAAATTAAGAGCTGGCATGGTAATGTAACCGAGCAGAAACAAGACCAGGTCACGTTTAAGTCTTTATTAAACAGCAATAAACGACAATGGCATGTGTCTAAAAAAAAGAATATACATAAATTATAACTTCAAATAGCATGAAAAATAATAAGTTATGAGAAAAAATAACAAGTTATGAAAAAGAAAAGTATTTCAAAAGCAAATACCTTTACGGACAGCACGGCCTTGAGGAGTTGTGACCTTGAAAACTGGCTGGCGGGACAAGTAATTTCAATCGAACATGAGTATTTATACCCAGACCTACTGTGTAAGTGGATTGAGTTGATTTAAAAAAATAAGCCAGTCAGGAATAAGATTACAAAAGAGTGTTCGACAAAAGCCTTTACAAAATGTTAGAATCATACTCGCTTACCGTAATTCAAATAATCGAATAAGAAATAAGTTTACAAAAGTGAGCATGGTATTAGCCTAAATAAATATATGAATCAAAATATATGTAATTATTTGGTCACAGTAAGCAATAGTTAAAACTGTGCAGAATAAAGTGTACGTCTGAAAACCAGCTGCAAAAGCGGACCATATAAACCAACCTTGATTGTAGAAATTGTATTAAATTAGGAGTAAACATGTATAATCAATTACAAAGTATCTTATATTTATCTGTATGTTGTAGGTAGAGAAATCGACCCCCATAAACTGGGTATCATCAGCTATAAAGGTTCGGAGGATAAGAGGCCGTTTATGGTGGGATTTTTTTCCTCACAAGAAATGGTGTACCCTCATCGGACTCGAACCGCCCTTCGACGACGGCGGGAGCTGTACTCGTACAGAGAGGAAAAGGAGAAATACCAGGACTACAACTTGTCTCGTAAGTATTCAATGTCCACCACAAACTAGACAATGTTTTACTATTGATAATGAGAGAAAGTACTGAATTGTAACTCACATGCAGAATCAAATCAATCAATTCATGTCAAAGGGAGAATGGATCCAAAATATTGTGTGAATTTATTCAGTTTTGAATTATATGAGGCAAAGGGGTTTTTACGTACTATCATAATGAAATGAACCTGTATATGAAGTTAAAAGGGAAAAGCTGATCTCTTTTGCTGTACATCTAAAAATTTCCAGAACTAGGTCCTGGTCACAATGTAATAGTGTACAGAGCAGTCATCAAAATCACATTAAGATTCTCAGAATTAAAAACATCGGAGTTGCTCATACCATCATTAAATTATTTAGAGATTATTACTTGTAGATATAATCTATCACGAATATTAAGGTTGTTTTTTTGCTGTAAAAAACCCTAAGACCTGGAGAAATGTGTACATGCTGTTGTAATTTTTGTAAAATCATCTGTTGTATGTCCTGATTGTATCTATTGTGAAGGTAAGGGTTACGAGGGGATGTGTCATCTTCAATAACATTGTTATCACTGGGTGATCTAACAAGGTAATCACTCCGCAACAGAACAGGCCTGTTCTTATGTTTACCGAGTAATTAAACACACTGGAGCTGCATGCTCCACTTAATTTCAAATGGACAATGATATTTAAAGCAAACATGCTCCATTCTGAGAGTGGCCTCTCCTTATTCATAATGTGTACATGAGATGTGTATATTAGAAATAGAAAAATAACAGTAATTATTTTAATCCTCGCTGCTGTAGGTCACAAACGGGGTGCAGGACGGTGGCCGTGTCAGCGACGATCCTTATACGTCAAGTTCCGAGATCTTGGGTGGCAGGTAGTAATCTATTTTCTAAAAATAAGATATAATTATGCAAAAATTTACATCAAAGCTTATAATCGATTGATTACCAATGCAAATAAATTCAGTAAAAATGCCTTTCTATTTTCTGAAAACTGATAAATCAGATACATATTGATATGAGAGTATTTTAATAACAACTTTTATCTCTTGTTTTTAATTATTTAAAATGTCATCTGAAGGATCAAGGAATTGATTTTTTTCCAATTTCTGACTCATGTTTGATTGCATCTGACAAATAAAATCTAAAACTAAAAAAAGTATGTATATTAAACTCGTAAATATACAAAAATTAGTTGTCAATTTCCTTCAGTCATTCAGGTTAATATTTGTAGATTTTATGTTTTATTCTTTTGTGGTCTTTTATAGACTGCAGATTTTTTTAAACAATTTTCCTTAAATATATTTCCTGATATTTGTTTTGACAGAGCTGGATTATTGCCCCTGATGGATACCATGCCTACTTCTGTGAGGGTGAATGCTCGTTTCCCATTGGAAATCATGTTAACGCCACAAATCATGCCATTGTACAGACACTGGTGCACATGTATACCCCCTATAAGGCCCCCAGCCCAGGGTGTGCCCCCTCAAAGCTGAGTGCCCAGTCCGTACTCTACTTTGATGATGACGGTAATGTGGTGTTGAAGAAATTTCCCAAGATGATCGTTACTTCCTGTGGATGCCATTGAGAAGTCCAGTGGCTTGTTACTGTGCTTAGTTCCCAATGGAGTTTAGGAAGACATTGTTGAATTCCCCTTTTAGTCTGCCTGTCTAAAATTTTGGCAAGATTCATTTTCCAGTTGGTAACTTTGTTATAAAAGAGACAGTGCAATGCTCTTTACTTGCTTTACAGGGTTTTGCTGTGACCTTGACATAAAGCTGTTTGGATTAGGTCAAGGTTGCCTATAGACAAATATCTGCCGAGCAGGAAGTTTATGTTCTTTCCAGCAGAGAATGTTGTTTCAGATCAGGGGATTAGCAGTATATCTGTTCTACTTAGTTTCTTGTTGGTATATAGATGTTTTGATTTGTTTAATTTATTTTGTAAAAGCCAAAGAATCTCAATAACATGAACCATGATTGCCTCATGTTTCAATTATTAATACTTGTGCCTTTCTCATACATATCTGAACAAGTTTACATGTCTATATATAATCATTACAGATTGTGTTTGTCCATTAGTTGATGTAAAAATGCCAAGAAGCATCAAGTGCCTCCACTTTTATGATTAGCTTTTTGCTGATAATTGAGATCTGAAAAATTTACATTTTCTATTATGGTACATGTATTTTTTGTACTATTGTAAAATTACGCAACATCATTATTTTCATGTTTGGGGATTTAGACTTTGATAGATCTGCAATATTTGGTCTTCCTTTATTAAATAAAATGTATACTGAAGTTTTCTACATTAAATCTTTGCATAAATGTTTAGAAAATGTTAGGGAAATTTAACTTAAAAAGAAAAAAGAAATACCAAGTATTTTAATAGAGTAAATTTTTGTGCCTTAATTTGTAATGTATTAGTTTGATTCATGTTTTACTGAGTATACATTCAAAACTCTTTTTAGACATGAAGAGAATAGAGTTTTTGAGGCTGTATTAATTTTCTAACTTTGTCTAAAAACAGTACACACTATTCTTGTTGTGCAAATGTAAAAATCTTGGTACTTGATAGATCTATAAGAAATTTTGTTCTTTGGTAACTCAAACTGTATGATTATTTACTTAAAAAAGCAAGCTTAATATTGTAGTGGCTTATGCACCAAAAGCAAAGCTCTTATTCCTCAATACAGCTAAGAAATCATCATTATGAATAAATATGGTACAGAGTACATCAGACATGTGAAGCCCTAATTCATGAATACGGCAATAAGCCAACAACTCCATATCCAGTGATTGTGCTAAATTTTGAATACACCAAATTATGTACACAAACAGTATATTAATAATGAAAATCAGAGATCTGATATGTTGATAAAATTATCATTGGTGGGGCTGTACATTTGATGGTAAGGGTGACCCATGAATATTGGTCTAACAAATTGGAGATTGATGCTACACATGTAGGGTTTTCTTTGTAGCTATATTTTCATAGAAATGTATACGTAGTTTACCATGATAAAGTGCTGTTGTAAAATTAATATATTAGTACAGGGGAAAAAACTAAAAATATCTTGACTAATAACTGTGGTACAAAAGCAGATTTTAAGAAAACACAAATATCAGAAAAATTTAAAAGAGTTTACCATTGTCAGGGCATGAAATGATTTTACTAAGCATGCCTAGAGTTAAAATACTGTAAACCAAATTTTATTCGCGATGATTTTATTTCAGAATTTACCACGGATAAACCAGTTTGCGACAATTAATTTTCAGGATCAAGTCTTCTTGAATCTTTTGATAATAAACACAAACACTTTAAGGACTGGTTCGCGGCGAGAAATATTCCCAATGACGAGGCTCTCGCGAACTTCACGAAAATTTCTCGCACACGAATAAAAGTTGATTTACAGTAAATAGACTTGCCATTTTGAACTAAATGTTTGGCTTTAGTTACTTTGCTTTACTGTTACCAAAAAAATACTGTCAACCATTGAGTTCAAATTTTTGTTTATATATATATATATATTTTTTTTTTTTTTGGGGGGGGGGGGGGTTCACCCTTTATCATATCAGTTATAGATTTATATGGGTTGATATTCCTGTCTTACCAACTGCTGTGAATTTTACATTCTTGATATCATGAAGAACTTAGTTTTGTGATAGAAATAACTTTATTTTATAGAACTGTGTTTATAGAACATTTTAATTTACACAAAGATTATACAAATATGTATTTTATGTACAAATGTTAATTCTGCAATAAATAATGTCTGATTTGCTTGTTTGGTTAATACAAGTCCCAAGCAATAGGATCTTCTTTGTTGATATCCTTTGTAAATACAATGCCTATAGGATCTATTGCCTTGAAATCCTAAGTAAACACATTGTCTATAGGATCTATTGCCTTGGTGTCCATGGTAAATATATTGCCTATAGGATCTATTGCCTTGATATCCTTAATAAATACATTGCCTATAGGATCTATTGCCTTGATATCCTTAGTAAACACATTTCCTTAGGATATACAGCCTTGATATCCTTAGTAAACACATTGCCTATAGGATCTATTGCCTTGAAATCCTAAGTAAACACATTGTCTATAGGATCTATTGCCTTGGTGTCCATGTTAAATATATTGCCTTGATATCCTTAGTAAATACATTGCCTATAGTATCTGTTGCCTTGATATCCTTAATAAATACATTGCCTATAGGATCTATTGCCTTGATATCCTTAGTAAACACATTGTCTATAGGATCTATTGCCTTGGTGTCCATGGTAAATATTTTGCCTATAGGATCTATTGCCTTGATATCCTTAATAAATACATTGCCTATAGGATCAATTGCCTTGATATCCTTAGTAAACACATTGCCTTAGGATATATAGCCTTGAAATTCTTGGTAAACACATTGCCTATAGGATATATTGCCTTGATATCCTTAGTAAACACATTGTCTATAGGATCTATTGCCTTGGTGTCCATGGTAAATATATTGCCTATAGGATCTATTGCCTTGATATCCTTAATAAATACATTGCCTATAGGATCTATTGCCTTGATATCCTTAGTAAACACATTGCCTTAGGATATATAGCCTTGATATCCTTAGTAAACACATTGCCTATAGGATCTACTGCCTTGAAATCCTAAGTAAACACATTGTCTATAGGATCTATTGCCTTGGTGTCCATGTTAAATATATTGCCTATAGGATCTATTGCCTTGATATCCTTAATAAATACATTGCCTATGGGATCTATTGCCTTGATATCCTTAGTAAACACATTTCCTTAGGATATATAGCCTTGATATCCTTAGTAAACACATTGCCTATAGGATCTATGGCCTTGAAATCCTAAGTAAACACATTGTCTATAGGATCTATTGCCTTGGTGTCCATGGTAAATATATTGCCTATAGGATCTATTGCCTTGATATCCTTAATAAATACATTGCCTATAGGATCTATTGCCTTGATATCCTTAGTAAACACATTTCCTTGGGATATATAGCCTTGATATCCTTAGTAAACACATTGCCTATAGGATCTATTGCCTTGAAATCCTAAGTAAACACATTGTCTATAGGATCTATTGCCTTGGTGTCCATGGTAAATATATTGCCTATAGGATCTTTTGCCTTGATATCCTTAGTAAATACATTGCCTATAGGATCTACTGTCTTGGTATCCTTAGTAAGTACATTGTCTAAAGGATCTATTCTCTTGGTATTCATGGTAAATACATTGCCTATAAGTCTGCCATTGTAATATTCTTAGTAAACACTTCATATTCAGGATTGATATGATCATTCCATACCCACTTGTCATGCATTCTAAAATGGAATTTACTGCTTAGTAAGATATGAAATGATAATGGTTTGAATCTATTTAAAAAGACTAACCAATAGTGGGTCTCTAAAGCATTTCAAATGCTATTGCCTTGGTCATATCACAATAAATACGATGCTTATAGGATCTATTGCCTTGGTAGATCTATTGCTTTGGTATCCTTAATAGTAAATACATTGCCTGTAGGATCTATTGCCTTGATATCCTTTGTAAATACATTGCCCATAGGATCTATTGTCTTGGTTTCCCTAGTAATACATTGTCTAAAGGATCTATTACTTTGGTATCCTTAGTAAATGCATTGCCTATAGGATCTATGATTAATTTATTATCTTTTATACCTACCGGTATTCTATGGTGTTTGTTCAAACAAGAAAAAAGGTAATGATAAAACTCACAAAATTTCAAGTTTATCAACAAGTTTTTAAGGATCCTCATCTTATTATAAGACCAAGACCACAAACAAACATGTACCACAATAATAACTGACCTCAGACATCAAAATCACAAAACGTTTGTTTCCAAGTGCAATATCATCTTACTTTGAAACTTTAAAAACAATTTTTAACTATTTGCTGAAATAAAACAAAATTATTTGAGATAAAGAGTTCTAAGCTATAATATTTTTTTTTGAATTTGTATTTAATGTCGCACTTTAAGGGAGATAACTGGATGCAATATCATTGAGTCACTGGTCAAATTCATCAAATTCACTTGAGTCTCTGCACTATGACTGCGTTTAATAGTTTGGCATCTGCTAAAGTTTGATTTTCATCTGAGAGTTCTTTGTTTGGGAAAGTGGTCAACAGGACAAAGGTTGATGAGGCATACTCTGGACGGGCTCTATACAATGTGTTAAGGTCAACTCTGATATTAAAGGGTGGAAAAAAAATACAAAGCAAAATACTAATATCAAATTATACCGTAAATCTCGAAATTTTTTCGTCGACTTTATTTTGCGAATTCAGGTCAAAATGCTGTTGATTAATTTTTATGTTTCAAAATTTTGCGAATGACCACTGCTTTGTTTACATTTTCTTACTGGTAATTTATTTTTAAAAAAATATTTTTGCGAATGCAATGAACTCGCAAATTTGCTAAAATTTATCTACAACAAAAATGTCCAGATTTAAGATACATAAAATTCCAGGTAAATAGAGAGCCATTCATTAAAATCCTTTTTATGCACAAGAAATAATCTCTCAACATTTTACAAATAGACCTGTCCTCAACTGGAAAAGTAAGCAAGGCTGTTTCCCATTACCTGAGGCCTGTTCAACAGTGCGAATGTTCTATAGCCAAATCCAACAGAATTTTGCCACGAGCTCTCGCTCGATAGGAAATTCTCATAGGAAATTTTGTTATAGGTAATCAAAGCTGATGTTTGAAAAGGGGCATAGGGTGGTAGTCAATTAATTGGTAAACAGACAGGTCCATTTTAGACATAAATTACAAATAATCAATAAATTTAACTTAGTAAACAGGGTATAACGACAATTAAATTCAATTTCAATTAAGACACAATTCCATTTTTTCTCGGCATAATTTTATATCTCTGATTTTCTCAAGAAAAAAAGCCCCAAAATTTAAAACTATAAGAATTTCACCTGAGCACATTGGCTTGGAAAAAGCACATATCAGATCAGAAATGAAAGTTTACGGGGGGGTGTTTCAGGGGTTCATGATTTGAACAAACTAGGATCTACACTATGAAGATGACAATAATATCACTAATCATAGCTTTGAAGTACTTGAAAAGATGATTTTAAAAGGTTTTATAAATCCCTATGTAAAATAGCATTTTCACACAATATATACTTGAATCTACACTACCTGAGGATGATTCCACATGCTTCCAAGCCCAGTGTTTTGAGAAGAAATTTTTATGATTTTTCCTATATATTCCTATGTAAAACTTAGGTTGGCCAATTTGGCCCCACCCTAGCCCCGGGGGTCATGATTTGAACAAATTTGAATCTACACTACCTGAGGATGATTCCACATGAGTTTCATCTTTCCTGGCCCAGTGGTTCTTGAGAAGAAGATTTTTAAAGATTTTTCCTATATATTCCTATGTAAAACTTGGGTCGGCCATTTTGGCCCCACCCTAGCTCCGGGGGTCATGATTTGAACAAATTTGAATCTACACTACCTAAGGATGATTCCACATGAATCTTTCCTGGCAGTGTTCTTGAGAAGAAGATTTTTAAAGATTTTTCCTATATATTCCTATGTAAAACTTTTGCATTTTGGCCCCACCCTAGCCGGGGGTCATGATTTGAACAAATTTTCTACACTACCTGGATTCCACATGATTTATTTTTGGCCCAGTGGTTCTTGAGAAAAGATTTTTAAAGATTTTTCCTGTATATTTCTATGTAAAATGCATTTTGGCCCCACCCTAGCCCCGGGGGTCAAATTTGAACAAAATTTATCTACACTACAAAAATGATTCCACATGAGTTTCATCTTTCCTGGCCCAGTGGTTCTTGAGAAGAAAATTTTTAAAGATTTTCCTGTATATTTCATTAAAATCCTTTTTATCCTAGCCCCGGGGGTCATGATTTGAACAAATCTCTACACTACATTTTCCACATGAGTTTCATCTTTCCTGGCCCAGTGGTTCTTGAGAAGAAGATTTTTAAAGATTTTTCCTGTATATTTCTATTAAAACCTGAGGCCTTTTGGCCCCACCCTAGCCCCGGGGGTCAAATTTGAACAAACTTTACTTCTACACTACCTGAGGATGATTCCACATGAGCTTTCATCTTTCCTGGCCCAGTTTCTTGAGAAGAAGATTTTTTAAAGATTTTTCCTACATATTCCTATGTAAAACTTGATCGGCCATTTTGGCCCCGCCCTACCCCCGGGGGTCATGACTTTAACAAACTTGAATCTACACTACCTGAGGATGATTCCACATGAGTTTCATCTTTCCTGGCCCAGTGGTTCTGGAGAAGAAGATTTTTTAAAAATGCCATTAATTTTTCATTTATACATAATTATCTCCCCTTGGAAGAGGGCTTGGCCCTTCATTTGTATAAACTTGAATCCCCTTTACCCAAGGATGCTTTGTGGCAAGTTTGGTAAAAATTGGCCCAGTGGTTCTTGAGAAGAAGTCAAAAATGTGAAAAGTTTACAGACAGACAGACAGACGGAAAAAGACGGACGCCGGACAAAATTTAAAACTATAAGAATTTAGAAAAAAAGAATTATTTCAGAAGCCCCTTAAGTCTCCATATTGAAAGGATACGTTGTGATGTAATTCCTGATGTCTCTCACTCGGTGTGTGTGATTCAGTTTTATGACTAACCTGACAATAAAATAAGAATCATAATGTTATACAGATATAATACAGATACTACAAAGTTATAAATATATCACAAAATTATATCACGTTGAAATTCTTTGCAAAAATCACAAAATTCTGGTAAAATATTACAAATATCAATTTGAACAATTAAGAATGCTTGATATTTTTCTAGCCTTTTTTAAAAAGGACAAAAATATATGTGACTGTATTTAAACATTACAAGAAATGGTACATAAGATATCTATATATTAAACTTTCTGAAACTACAGTTCTATTTACTATTACCTTTATAATATAATTACAAGTGAATGCAACTTGTTAAATGTTGTATGACTTATTAACTGGTGAATGACAAAAGTAAGCCTTTGATTACACACATCTATCTGTGTGCAACAGTTATAAGTTAGACTTACCGTGACCCATCGGCCAGACGGACCTGGAGATTTGTTGTTGGGGCCTTGTCATTGACCTTGACCTCCTGTTTTGCTGCTTCCTCCGTGGACGCGGAATTACTGGACGATGAGCTCGGAGATCGGACAACTGTTGGTGCTGGGCTACAACAAATTTGTAAACTACGTTAACATGAATATCTAAAGTATTACTACAATTTTTTTTTTTAAATATCATGCTAAATAATACATGCAGTATAGGTACTTTCTGAAATCCACCTAAAAAATAAACATTTTTTGTGTATGTACATTTACTTTCATACATGTATAGCAGAAATGAACTTTTTAACCCTCTCATTTTATTTTAATTATTTGGAATTCAATTTAATGTGAACTACATGTATATTCAAACTTAAACATAAATCTTCTAACATATTGCATTTTAAAGCATTGAATTGTGTCCCATTTTACTTGCTAAATCTTCAAATTAAATTTAGGTTGATAATTTTAGAAAAACGTTACACATAAAAATTCCCAAAATCTGCAGACAGACAAATAGACTAAGTGATTACTATCATTTCTTGGGACGTCTGACTATGGTATAGATAAGAATTTGCTAGGTCCTTATGAATTCATAACTTCCCAATATATGCCCCCATCCCCCTCCTTGGTGAAAGAATTGGTTGTACCTATTCATACCTTCCCAACTTATATGGACAGTGCTTGTGAAAGGTTAGTTTGTATTACTTGTAATTCGAAGCTTCCCAACAATTGTTTGATCCCTGTGAAATGTTTGGTTGTATGAGTATTATTAGTTCATACCTTCCCAACATATGGCCGGCCCCTGTGAAAGGTTTGGTTGTGACTTTGGGTTGGACAAAGTCTTCAGTGCGATGATCTTCCATGTTGAGATTAACTTCTTTCCCTCTGCTAATTAGCTCCCTTGGAACCTCCCTGAAGCCAAGAAAATACAAAAAGATAAAGTACATGTACCAAACTTTCTGTGCTCAAGGCATGAAGAGGACTAATGAAGTAAGTAAATAAAATACATCTACCTCCTACATGTTTGTTTCTTTGGATAAATAATTGACCCTCTACATTTTGTTTCTATTTCTTAGTTTAACTTTATGATGTTCTAAACTTATTTCTAAAAATAAATGCTATTATTATACCTCTACTGATTTTTCACTATATAAAAGTAAATCGACATATTTTGCTGATTTCCTGAAAATCACGGTGAATAAACCGATTCCCTGCAAAACAGACTGATTCCCTGCCAAAAAAGTATGTTTTTTTATGAACTGATACACACCTATTCGGAACACTTAGCATTTTCTTTCAACTTACGACAAACCTAGAAATGTTCCGAATAAACTCATGAATATTCATTAATAAATCAAAATGTATCGCGAGTCAACTGGTCCCATATCAATCAAAAAGAACCAGTTTACTGGTGGCAAACGACAACAGAAATGGCGAGCTCAAGATTTACGTAATGTTACTTTCGATTTTACTAAGTAAACACTCGGACAATGAACTGATTTATTGATAAAATGGAATTCTATTCATGTTTGTATTCTGTTTTGTTGTTATTTTTTAAATATTCCTGTTTGAATTAAACATTGTTACAGAATACAGTATTGAATATAACTTTTTCAAATGTCTTGTTTGTATCGGTATAATAAAACAGTTAAAGTATATCATTGCTCAGCAAGATTCCAGTTCCCCTCGAGCAAGCCTATTTCCCTCGGCGCAAGCGCCTCGGGAAATAGACTTGCTCTTGGGGAACTGGAATCTTGCTGACTCCCTCAATGATATACTTTAACTGTATACTGACCCCCTTGAGACAGCGTCTAGGAATTCTTTGTTGGCCGGATCCTGAAAATCTCTAAGAGGCCCGTCATCAACACTGAATCCGTTTTTCCACAACTTAAGCACCATATCAACCTGAAATAACAACAAAATAGAAATAAACAAGAGATGTTTGTAAAACACTTATGCTCCCTCCCCCTAATAATTGGATTTTTTCTAAATCCAAGCGGCATTACTCTGTCCAAAATGCCTCTACCTTACCAAAAACAAAATTTGACCTAGATTTTCCTATGATAAATCTGTATACCAAATTTCATATCAATATGTTCAACCTCTGCAAAGAAAATGAATGGAAACTAATGTTGGACCACACAGACAAACCGACAGACAGCAGCAAAGCAATATTCCCTCCCTTCTTTGAAGGAGGGTATAAAAACACTGGAATTTCAAATATAAACATATCTACACGATCTATACATAGATTCCTCTTTTATTGTCCGTATAATCAGAGCCCATATTTTTCCTCATTTAATTCTCCCCAACTCTACAGGTTTTTCCAAAGATCCCTTACCCCGAAATTTTATGTGTTACCCTACAATCCCTTACCTGTTTTTTTCCTTGGATTCTAAAGATTTTCCCTATAATCCCTCACCTGTCTTTTCTCTGATTCTATGGGTTTCCCCTGTATTACACTGACAGGGTCATCTTCTGTTTCCCCCAGTTTGTATCCAGCTCCACGGAAAGCAAAGCGACTGGCACCCTGGGTCTGTGTTTCTGAGCCCTCCCCAACTTCCTCAGCTCCATGTCTGAAATTTTTTTAGAAAGATTGTTTTTAAGTACCATAAGTGTGTTATAGCTCAT